ACTCGTCCCTACACCTTAGGGCCCCGGGCTGGGACCCAGTGTAGAGGGAGGGCCTGGGTCCCCCTCCCCCACCCGACCGGAGGGAGAGTGTAATCCTTATGTAGTCGGGGGGACGACCAGCCCAATACACGGGACTATTGAACTTTGGACAGTTGGGTAGCGACCAGCCTGCGGGAATTTGGGGGATGTTAAGGTGGCAATTGGCACAGGGCCCTGCCCAGACGCATGGGTAGAGGCTTTGGGCTAAACTGAACCGTCACACTGATAAACTAACACGTGGCAGTTAAAATGCTTAATCTGTTTCATAATTTAAATTAAATCGTTCTCCCTAGCTGTAGCTGGTTCAGAAAATAGGATCCCCATATCCAGCATGCCCTTGCCTACCCTCCCTGCTCCTTCCCCGGCACAAAGATCCGTGAATAAGTTAAATTTCGGGACGCCACTTCTGAAAGGTTGCCTACCTCTGCACTAAAAGGTAAGATCTGCATAATAATTTATTTATTAAGGTAGCTGCTGTAAGTACAACTTTTATTGACTTTAAAAAGTATCAGCGACACTCAAACCCATATATAGAGGCGAATAAATCAAATCTCAGCACTCCATCTGTGAAAAGTTGCTGACCCCTGTTCTCGTCTGTCCAGCCTAACAACCAGTTCTTGCTTCTTGAAAATTCTGGGTTTTCAATTTCTGTTTCTCAGCAGACTAACATGTGCAAAGACAGACACAACTAGATAGGATTGTTTTTGTTCTATGCTTATGTTGTGTTTACTGTGCCTGACACAGAGCTTCTGACATTTGATTTAGTGGTTCTAGTAAGGGCCTGCTAAATCGAACTCTGAGGGTGTCCCTGGTTGACACCAGTACTCCTCGATTTGCAAGGAGTAAGGGAAGAAGATGGGAGCATTTGCTCCTCTCCACTGTGGAGATGGTGCCAAACTCAGTTTAAGGTACATCAACTCCAGCTATGTTTCTTAGGGTATGCCTACACTTGCCCCCTAGTTCGGACTAGGGAGGCAAACGAAGCATACCGAAGTTGCTAATGAAGCACGGGATTTAAATATCCCGCACTTGATTGGCATATTCACGGCTGGTCACCATTTTAAAATTAACTCGCTGCGTGTAGACATAGTAGTCTGATCCAAAACCCATAAGAACATAAGAACACGAGAACGACTGTACTGGGTCAGACCAAAGGTCCATCTAGCCCAGTAGCCTGTCTGCTGACAGTGGCCAGCACCAGGTGCCCCAGAGAGAGTGGACCAAAGACAAATCAAGCAATTTGTCTCCTGCCATCCCTCTCCAGCCTCTGACAAACAGAGGCCAGGGACACCATTTTATCCCCTGGCTAATAGCCTTTTATGGACCTAACCTCCATGAAATTATCTAGCTTCTTTTTAAACTCTGTTACAGTCCTAGCCTTCATAGCCTCATCTGGCAAGGAGTTCCACAGGTTGACTACACGCTGTGTGAAGAAGAACTTTCTTTTATTACTTTTAAATCCGTTATCCATTAATTTCATTTGGTGTCCTCTACTTCTTCTATTATAGGAACTAATAAATAACTTTTCTTTATTCGCCCTCTCCACACCACTCATGATTTTATATACCTCTATCATATCCCCCCTCAGTATCCTCTTTTCTAAACTGAAAAGTCCCAGTCGTTTTCATCTAACTTCATATGGGACCCGTTCCAAACCCCTAATCATTTTAGTTGCCCTTTTCTGAACCCTTTCCAAGGCCAAAATATCTTTTTTGAGGTGAGGAGACCACATCTGTACACAGTATTCAAGATGTGGGCGTACCATAGTTTTATACAGGGGCAGTAAGATATTCTGGGTCTTATTTTCTATCCCTTTCCTAATAATTCCTAGCATCCTATTTGCCTTTTTG